ACAGGCGCAAAGAAAATCCAACATGTATTACTGTTTCTGAAGAAGAAAATAAGAGAACAGATGTAATATTCAAAAGTGTAAGACAAGGAAACTTTCTGGCCATAAGGAACATTGAAAAGGTCTTCGATGAGCCTACGAAAATTGATCCGGATTGATCAACTCTGAGGTATATCTTAGAAAATCAACTAGATTTGAAAGAAAAAAATCCTATGGGTCGCAGGTAAAAAAGACATTTAGAAAGATGCAAGTGTAATGGCAATTATTTGAACAAAAACGCAGATATTAGTAACTACAAAATTACGAAAGTTAAGTCTTGGCACTTAACGGGCGAGGGAGGGGTGGCTTTTAAGCACTCCCTTACTTTCCCGCACTACAAGATGCTCCGGGCTCATCTCCATTTCTTGCCCCAGTATTAGAATCCACCGTTTCTCCAAAGAAGCCTTGATTCCTTCAATCACGGAAAGGTTGCTGAACTTCGCGGGAAACAGATCCTTCCAGAAGCTCCGGATAGAGAAGGGGTTTCAAAACTCACTCCAAAGTAGGTTACGGAGAAATGGAGGCAGAGGAGGCGTCTTAAACCCTCCTGGCTGGTTACTTGGGAAAATAAAAGTGGAGGTTGCAGCAAAAGGACTGGGGAGCGCCCGCGGGCCTCGAACCACAGAGGTGATTGTAAGTTTTCTGTCGAAGGAACCGCTGAGCTAGAGCCAGTCCGCAAGCCGGCCTCTGACTTTATTTACCTGACTGTTGGGAAAGACGTGCGTCACAAAGAGTGAATCACGCTGGGAGTTCTCCGGGATGACTCGGCGTTCCACTGTCCAATCCGCTCCCAGCTCCAGAATGCTCCTCTCCCGACGCGCTGCAGCAAGGACTCAGAGGCTACCCTTCGGTGAACTCTTCCGCAGTAAAGTCCTCCTACCGCCTTTCGGTCCCTTTGCCCCTCCAACAAACACACGGGGTCTCTCAATCAACTTTTACCACTCCGTGATAATCAACTCTTTCAAGGAAGTGAAAGCTTTATAAGGTGCAAACTGTAATTCAGTCCTTATCTTGGGATTTGCATGCTTAAACCAGAAAAACGCTACAGACCCTCGTCCAGAAGTTATATACTTCTAGTATCATTTCCTCTATTACTGTTTTCTCTAAAATTATTTTAACCACAACAACACCTGTTCTGGCCGGGCGCCGTGGCGACGCTTGTAATCCCAGCGGCTCGGGAGGCTGAGGCAGGAGGATCAAAGTTCAAGGCCAGCCTCAGCAAGGGCCAAGCTCTAAGCAACTTCAGTGAGACCCTGTCTCTAAATAATATACAAAATAGGTTTAGGGCTGGGATGTGGCTCAGTGGTTGAGTGCCTCTGAGTTCAATCTCTGGTACCGCCCCCCCCCCCCCACACACACACACCCAAAGAACACCTATTCCTTTACCTGCCCTGTAAACTGCTAACATTCCCCCGAAATTTCAAGTTTTCTCCCGTTGGCCACTGTTAAAATTTCACTGTGTATCTTCCCAGTCCTTTTCCTCAATCTGTATGCCTAACTGTACACACAACAATTTTTTGTTTTGCAGGGCTGAGGATCACAAATTTTTCCTTGACTGTAAGTCAAACTGAAAATCCAGTTTGTTGGGTATTCTTTTTGTTTACTTAATGTCTTGTGGAGGTTTCCTATCAGTACATATAAGACCTAATTCATATGTATTGTAATGCTTGCTTTATATTTAAGTTTAAATATACTAGTTTTAGATGCTTTGCTATCATAAAGCTGCAGTGAATATCCTTGTACATATATGTACACGTACACAGGTATATTGTTTGAATTTGTCGTGCTGGGGATCCAACCAGGGTCTCCTGCACACTAGCATGACACAGATATGAAGATAGGTGCTTTTAAGTAGAAATGTTGGGAGAATCTGCTCATTTCAATTTTTGTAGGAGGTTATGGGAGAAATGCCAGAAGCCCAGAGGATGCCTGAAGCCACAATCACCTAAAGGCATAAAGATCTTTTGTTCCTCAATTTTTTTGTGGGTTTTTGTTGTTGTTGCATATACGGGGAAGGGCATTCTTGGTAAAGGAAACAAAACAAGACAAATTCACTCACACAAGTCTCATGCCCTCAGCTCCAAGATTAGCTCATTGAGGACAGAGATCAATTGATATCTTACTCCCTGCATCATCATCTCTGAGCATCTTAATGAGGCACAAAGCCTCTCCCTGTCCAGATTTGCAATTAACCTAATGATTAGGTGTCTGTCTGATGGTAACAGCTACCTCAAAGGCTGTGTTCAAAATCACCAAGGGAAGCCAGACACCTGTAATCCCAGCAGTTTGTGAGCCTATGGCAGAAGGATTGCAAGTTCAAGGCCAGCCTCAGCAATTTAGGGAGACCCTGTGTCAAAATAAAAAATAAAAAGGACTGGAGATGTGGCTCAGTGGTTAAGTACTTCTGCTACCAAAAATCCAAAACCAAGATCAAGGAATTGCCTGTGAATGGTATGGAGCAGGTCAGGTCATCCAGGAGATTACTGCACAGTCACTTAAAATTCCTCCTGTGTTTGACCCGCTGGTGCCCACTTAGGGACTTTCAATTTCATTAGGTTCCTGCTAATTTCCAATTACCTAAGAGCCTTTTTTCCATAACTGTGGAAGGAAAGCTTATCTTCCCCCATCTACCAAACCAGGAAAACAATATCCTCCCCAGCAGCCCTTGACTCTCAGGAAAAACACTCCAGCTCCCTTACTCTCCCATCCAGGTAGGATATTCTGAAACCAGTGTTCTATGTTGGTCTGTGCCAAGTTCCACAACATAAGGCTCCAGCTATTCACACTGGTAGCCATCCAAGTAATCTAACCCTCCTGTCTCAATTCTCTATTCTCATACATGATCTAAATCAATGACTTGCATCAAATCCCTGCTTCAGATCTGCTTCTTGGAGAATCCAGACAGACATCAACCATGCACCTGGAAGTTGATATACATTAATTGATGGAACCTGCTTAGAAGTAGAGAAGTCTTTCAGAGTTAAAAGTCATGACATGGATCAGAGGAGACATACACAATGTCACTTCTTAAGAGAAAGGCTCCTGATCACAAGGCTATGATATGACTAGATAAGGTTATTTACCACCACAATATGGAAACACAAAAAGATGGGGCAGTTCACTGGTGCAAATACAGAGCTGATGGGAAAGGGCTGTGGTCACTTGACTCAAGTGAAGGGCATCTTGTCCCATGGGTGATGCTTTCCTTCTGGAAAACAGATCCTTCAGGCCCTATCAACTTAATGCCCTTGGCCACTGAGATCACACCATCCATACCTCCTTAGAATGACTTGTGTTTACATAGTGCTACCTAAGCACTTTCAAACAGCAATTTCACCAGAATGTATTCCAAGACATTTGGGATCTTGATATTTTAGCCCAGAGGATACCACCAGAAACTAAGATTGTTCACCTAAGCATTCACCAACTAAACACATCTAAGCCAGTTACAGGTACATTCCTCAACTAGAATGCAGTCACCGTGCATTTTATAGTTTTGAAAAATAAATTCCTCTTCCAGAGATTTCTGAATAATCTGAGATTATTCTTGGTTCCTAAATTTTCATACTATCTCCTACCTCCCCTTTTCTAAGCCAGCACTTTGAGCCCCTCTGAACACCTATGACCTGACTAGGTCCCTTCAAGACTTAGTCAGGCATGGTAGCATATGCCTGTAATCCCTGCTACAGAGAGGTTGAGGTAGGAGTATCCCAAGACTAAGGGCAGCCTTTACAATTTAGCAGGATCCTATCTCAAAACAGCTCCAGAGTTCGAGTTCCAGTGTGGGGTAAAGGGACATCTCAAATCATTTACCAGCCAAGAGGGTTTAGAAAATCTGGAATTCACAATTGCTTTTTAGTGGAGTTGACCAGAAGATTCCACTGTGCTAGAGAATAAATCATTTGAAGCTAAGTTGAATTTCCAAAAATGGGTTTCCAAAAGAATGAATACTTAACCATAGAAAGAACTCCCCATCAATAATATATCCAGCCTGTCTTGAAAAGGATAGACTTTTACCCAAGGCCCTGGAATATACATGATCCTGGCAAGAGCAGCCACTGACCTACGCAGTATTGACTAACACTTATATAAAACTTTGAGCCCAACCTTGAGGTGGACAAATTGTTTCCAGTAGCCAGATTCAGTATCAGAATTAGGCAAAAGTCATGCCTGATAGCAAGGGCATTTTATACAAAAGCCCAGAGTATGATGCTTTGCAGGACCCACAGTGGTTCAGATATTTCATAAAATTGAAGAGCCAGAAAGAGCAGAAAAAGGTGGCAGCCTTAGCCTGAATAAATTCTCCTTTTTAGCATACAATAGCAAATGTATTTTCAATGAGGTTTTTTGTTTTGCTTGCGTTGTGGCTGTTTTTTACATCTGTATCACTAGATCTGGCAGTACCCAATTTAGATCAGATTTTTGTTTTGTTTTTAGACTGTGCTATATTTAATTCTCAAGTTAGATCCTGGTAGGGAAGTCGTCTTCTCAGTGATTCTCAGTGGAGGTTAAGAGGCAATTTGCCTACCTCCTGAAACAGACATTTTTAGTTGTCAAACTAGAGGTGCTATTATGCCATCTAGTGGTTAGAGGCCAGGGATGTTTTTAAACATTCTATAATATTTAAAACAGCCCCTATACCAAAGACTTATCTAGCCCAAAATGTAAATAGTGCTAAGACTGAGTAACCTGGTGCCTAGCCCAACTGCAGATAAGAAAAACTGTTAAGTTCAACCCTGACTTCTGTTCATGATCAGAGGAGGCTGAAATTATAGGAAGTTTTGTCTAGACTCCTCTGGACCCAGACCTTTCATCAGAGGAAAACAACTCATGCTGAAGGAACCTAAGTTAATATAAAAACACAGAGGTCAAATGAAGAGAGAGAAAAAAGGCTCTACAGTAAATCCTCAGTATGGGAAGGAAAAACATACACACAGGAAAAAATATGGAATGTTCCCACCAAATGTGAAACAGGCCCAGTCAATGCCATTTATTATACATGTTGAATAACCTCTGAGACCCAAGGGCTCCCACAGTGAGTTTGTTTGCTTGGTTGTATTTTTTGGTTTTTGGTTGGTTTGTGTTTTTTTTTTTTTTTCCATTTTCTTTTTTTGCATCAAACAGGTTCTTCCAAGAGCCTGCTCACAAGGAAGACAAAAACAAAGAAATCTTCAGTAAAATGAAACAAACTGGAGAAGGTAAAACAGTCCACATCTGAAGAACAATGTTAAAAAACTCAGCAGACAGAAACCACACCAAACACTCATCCCATTTAATTTCCTGTTACATGCGCTAAGGAAACCAAGAACATCAGGCCCCAGGGCAGCAATGCTCTGAGATTCTAGCTCAGGCTCCCCTCTTTGTGACAGATTCATGCACACAATCCACACATACCATTGACCCAGGCAGAAATACACATGCATGCACAGGAGGAGGCTAGAGAACCATAGGGCAGGATGGGAGGCAGGGCTGGTCAAAAATATGGCATCTGCTGGAAAATGGGGACCCAGAGAATCCTTCTGGTGCAAGCTGAACAAGTCAAAAAATAAAACAAAGGCAGAACACAGGATAAAGGTAGGATGCTCAGACAAGAGGTTAGATAGATGAAGAGGGAAAGATGCAGAGGGAGTTTTGGGAAAGCAGTCTCAGAAGGGGAGGCCTTTCTTTATTGGGAACTCAGATGGGCAGAGGTCTTGTGACTCCAGTGATATACTGGAAGCTAAAGGAATTTGCCACAGCATTACCTCTGCATCCTGTGTCCTCTCCCACAGTAGAGGGAAGCCACAAACACCCACCCTTTAGCCCTGCCCACAGACACTCTTAAGGACTTTCCCCAGTACCCAAAAAGAAATGATCCCCCTAACACACACACAAAGTTAGGTCCAGCATAGGCCAAAGTTAGGCCAAGCATAGAAAGCCTCAGTAACTCTTCTTGGTGGAACCAAAGCCAGAGAAGCCCATCACAGCTGCCATCTCATCATCTTCTTCAAATGTCAAGTCTTCCTCGGCCCTCCTCTTCTTCTCCTTCTGTTTCTCTTTCTTATATGCTTTAGCCTTTTCCTCCTGGGGGGAAGGGTAGAAATAACTCAGAAGTTCAGACTCCTGAGCCAAATGTTGTCAAAAGAGATGGGAGGGGCCGGGGTTGTAGCTCAGTGGCAGAGTGCTTGCCTAGCATATGGGAGCACTGGTGTTGATCCTCAGCACCACATAAAAATAAATAAATAAAATAAAGGTATTGTATCTATCTACAATTAAAAAAAAATTATATATATTAAAAAAAGAAAGAAAGAAATGGGAGCCTCAAGATTCCTTTCTATCTTTAGAAGAAAGTAAAAAAATCTCAAGGGCAGAGTAAAAGCCACAGAACGATTATAAGGTATATAACAAATTAGAGTAATTTTTTTTTAAACAAAGATTATAAGGGATAATCTGGAACTTCCAATCCTATACCCCAGTTCATCTCTAGCTCTCCCCCGCCGCCCCTTTCATTTCTAGTTCTTAACAGGGTTATAGGTACAAAACCATTTAACATTTTGGAACATGCAGCATATGCCAGGAAGTACTTCATAGTACTTTATGTATTATTATACTAAGATCACTAATATAGGGAACCTGAATCATGGGGAAGTTATATAACACACCCCAGTTTCTAAGTTTCCTCCACAGTCAGTAAGTGGAGGAAACAGAATTCTGACACTATCAACCTAGATCCACAGACTACTCAGAGACTAGGTACACTGAGCTAATCCATTTTTTTTTTTTTAGTCTTATAGTTTTAAAAAAGAATATGGGGAGTCTATGCATGTGTGGGGTGCAGGAGGTAAATTGAAAATCTTTATACCTTCCTCTAAATTTTGCTGTGATCCTAAAATTGCTCTTAAAAAAAAAAAATAAGTCTTTTTAAAAAATTAAATAAAAAAATAATTAGCTGAAACAGTCTAGGAAAATGGCCCAAATAGTCCAGGAAAAAAGGTATATTTGGAGCCATTTCCTTTAGCTCATGAGCAGCTCAAAGAACGTTTTCCCCTAGTATACAGAAATTCAGGGACAAAACTAGGGAAGAGAAAGTATAGCATGAAGAAGGGAGCCAACCATGAGCAATAAAATAAAATTCAAAGCTAAAGAGGGGGAGGGATAAGAGTCTCACCTCTTCTCTGAGCTCTTTCATCCTTTCTTCAAAATCATAATCTTTCTGCTTCTCTTCCATCTTTTTCTTGTTGACTTCAAAACGTTTCTTCACCTGATCCAGGGTGGAACGTTCCACACGCATAGACATACCTAGGTTTCGCTGATCTGGGTGGCATCAATAGGGAATAAATTAAGGTTATTACAAAGCCCCTCAAAAAGTCGTGGAATTTTTTTTTTAATGTTTCAAAAATAGTAAAATAAGAAGACATTTTATCAGGGCAAGGAGCTCAGTGGTGGAACAATTGCCTAGCATATGCAATGCCCTGGGTTTGATCCCCAACACCACAAAATAAATAATAAAAAAATATATCTTTTTGCAAAATACCCAAAATAATTATATAGCAGAAGTAATTATGGCTAAAAGAAATTCTTATCCTCACTTGTTTTCCAGCAGCAGCAGTGGCTTTCTACTGCCCTTACTTAGCAGATAAGCACCAGTGGGGCTACCTAGGCCTAGAAGGCCATATTTGGGCTTACTGAGAACTTAGAACAATATCTCACCTTACAGCCTCAAGAAATATTAAACTAAAAAAATAAAGGATGGCCTGTGCTAAAGCAAATGGAAGAGTTCCCTGGGTATTTAAAAAAAAAAAAAAAAGGGTGGGAATAAAGACAAACAACTCTTCCCTACCCCACTTCCAAAACCCAATCCCAGTCCCACTCACAAACTACCTCCAAGCCTTACGTTTCTTTCCATTAATGTGATCCAGGAAGTTGATAGAGTCTTTCACCACACAGTCACAGACATTGCAGTAATATCTGACAGATGGGAAGAAATAGCACATGGGTCAAATCTGGTTTTAATCAAACAAGAAATTACAATTTCAGGGAGTCAGGCTTACTGGTGATTGAACTCAGAGGTGCTTTACCACTCAGCCACATCTCCAGTCCTTTTAATTTTGAGACAGGGTCTCACTAAGTTGCTGAAGTTGGCCTCAAACTTGGAATCCTCCTGCCTTAGCCTCCAAGATGCTGGGGTAAGTGTAAACCAACACACACAGAAAGAAACTAATTTTTATGTAATCTCTTTAGAGTCTGAAGGCTTCATTCCATTATGGCTTAACTCTTGAGAGAGGGTGGTAGCCAACCTCCAAAACAGACCAACCCTCCTATTCCTACCCTGTGTTGCCTCCTCTCAGTTTGTACCAGGGTTGATCTGTATGACCAATCAAACGTCAAAAACGATGGTATGTACTTCTAAGGACATTAAAAAACAAGGCTTCTGTCCTTGTGTGGATTACTTGCTCTGGGCAAGTCAGTTGCTTTGTTTTGAGAAGCCCATGGGATGAAGAACTTCAGCCTCCAAATCACAGGCATGTGAGAGAGCTTGAAGGCAGATCCTCCAGCTTTATTTAGACCTCCAAGCCAATTCCTTGACTACAGCCTTACAAAAGACCCTGAGCCAGAAACACCTGGGTAAACTACTCCCAGATTCCTTGCCCACAGAAACTATTTTTTGCTGCTTAACTCTGAATCAACTTGATAATTTACATAACAAAAGATAATAGAGATAAAAATGATATCAGTGGGTATACTAAACAGCTCAGAGAAGGGACACTAATTGGTATCTATATTGCTCTCCTGCTGGAAATCCTAACTGAACAGAGGAAGAGTCGTAGGGTGACAAAAGGGTAACAAGCTATTGTGGAACCCTACTTCCTACAGAACGTAGTCTCGGTCTGGAAAGAAGATGCACAACCAGCATCTTCCATACAATCAATTAATAACAACTATGGACTTTGCAGCTAATCTGGAACCTCAATACCCTTTCTTCACCATTAACAGCTTCTTAGTTCTAATCTAGCTCTATTTAATTTCTACCCTAAAAATCTTCTCAGTAATTCCTTCCTTCATTTCTTCTGACAGAATAATCCCTTTCAAGATATTAAGAAGTAGTTTTAGTACTAATATTAAAATGCCCACAAAGCAACTTCTCCTAAAGACCACAAACTTGAGACCTTAACAAAGAAAAACACCCCAGTAGTCATAGGACTAATATACCGAAGTCCACAAAGCAATCCCTCCCCTCCCACAGACTGTTCACTAAAGACCCTGGAGAGAAATAAAAATACATGTTTACATAAAAAGATAGAATTATGGTCAAAATAAGATTGTCCCCTGGGGTCAGGGACCCTCCTCTACACTTCCTAAAACCAACAGGTAGTTTATTATACGCATCTTTGCTTCAAAGAAAGATGAAAAACTACTTACCCTCCCATCTCAGACTGTGGGGTGGTCTTGGTAATGACAATTGTCTTCCCAAGCTTAGATTCCAAGTCCACTTTGTAGTCCCTATGCCGCAGAAGTTCCCGTTTGACTGGCTGCACTGGTTTTCCTAAAACATGATGGGAAAGAAAGTCCCTTCAAAATTATAGTTCTTCAACCAGAAAGAAAAAGAAATGAATGAAACTCAAAATCCAGGGAACTACTTTCATTTCTTTTTATTTCTGTTTCTTTTGTGGTACCAAGGATTGAACCCAGCTCCACTCTATCATTGAGCTACACCCCCCAGCCCTTGTTTTTTTATTTTGAGACAGGGTCTGGCCAGTTGCCCAGGCTGGCCTAGAACTTGCAATTCTCCTACAGGCATGTGTCACCTCGCTCAGGTTTTCATTTCTTTTTTGATTCATGAAAGATGAAACACAATATGCACCCAAGAGACAGTTAGCAGCAGCTGAATGAGAACCTGAACACAGAAAAAAATGATAAGCAATCCCGATTCACTACAGCTTTTCTTCACTTTACAGCCAGCAAGTCACCAGGCACGGTGGCACATACCTGTAAGCCCAGCAGCCTGGGAGGCTGAAGCAGTATGATCACAAGCTCAAAGCCAGCCTCAGCAACTTAGCAAGGCCCTAAGCAACTCAGCAAGACCCTGTTTCTAAATATTAAAAAAAAAAAAAAAAAGCTGGGGATGTAGCTCAGTGGTTAAGCACCCCTGGGCTCAATCCCTGGTACCAATCTAATAAATAAATAAAGCCAGCAAGTCTAGAAGCAACGTGTTTTCTATTCATTAACTTAACTGAAGGGGACTTATGTATTTCCACCAGAATCTACCTTTTTAAGAGAAGCAAGGCACTCAGTAATGCTTTTATGCATACAGATACCCTAAGCACCACACAAAAAGGAACACTCGGTCAAATTTTTAAAAAGACCACCTAACATTTGGGAAATACTTATTCATTTAACAGGCACACCAAACACTATTTATTATACACATTACATAAAAAACAAAGAGGATTAATGTTAGATAAGGTAGTATGGAAGTAAAGCATAAGACTGTATGTTTGAAAACAGATGAGAAAATTAGAAATTTCTTTTTGTAAAATGAAGCGGATATAGAAGAGGAGTACCAATTCCCTGACACTGTACCAGGTACTGAGAAATGGCATCCACTAAGCATCACATGAAACAATCACAAATTCCTCGTGGGTACCCCTGCTTTTTTCTGAGACTTTGCGGGAGGGTCTTGATTGGGCTTTCTCTCCCTTAAGAAATTTCAAAAGACAGCAGTAGTGTTCAGCAGTAAACTATTCCACTTTGCTTATTCTTTGTTACTACTGCAAATTCCAGTCTCCTCTCTGTATGTCCTTCAAGAAAGCACTAACTGAACAAGCGAAGGAATGGCAAGGAAGCAGAGGATAACAAAGCTGAGAAGAAACTCAACTTCAGTCCACCTTCTCGCTCTCATTTTGTTATACATGTAGAAACCGAAGACCAGGGAGGCCACGCTCCCAGAGATGACATGGGGCAAGTGGGCAGCGCTTTTCAACTCCCACCCACTCTCCAGCCATTTCATCGCCTCTGATACCCTTAACCCTTGAAGTGGGCACCCACCATCCTTCTTTTCTCTCTCTTCCGTGAGCCTCTTCTCGGCGAGCTTCTCGTATTCATCTTTGTCCCACTTTCGGCGAAAGTCCAAGTTTTTTGTCTGTAGGGGAAAAAAGTGCTCAAGATCCGTCGCTAATGGTGTCCGGACCCCTAGAGAAAATGAGGTGACCGTGTTCTCGCCACCAAGTCAACCCGGGACTTTCCGAAAGCGAAGCTTCTCTGGACCGCACTAGGAGGCTAAGATGGACTCAGGACCCCAACCCGAGAGACCTCCGCGAGTTCTCCGGTCTCTGCGCCTGGACCTTAAGGGGGAGTTCTCGAACCCAGACCCTGGGATCGCCAAGTGGTGTTGGGAAGCCAGTCGGGTGCCGTTGTCTGTCTCTATTCAGCGACGAGAAAGCACACCCGCCCTTACCCGCAAACATTCTCCTCACACACAAAACCTACCCCGCTGCCCGACGCCATCTTCACAGCGAAGTGAATGGAAAGCCGGAAAATGCCGTAAAAAGCGGCCTGGAGCTGTAAAGCAAGACCGCCGTCCAATAAGTTTAGAGTCCCGTGTTCTAAAACGCGCTAAGGACTGGAGAGCTTCTAATACACGCTCGTCGGCCCCGCCTCCGCTCCTAGGAGATGGCGCAGGCGTAATGAGAGCGTGAAGCAACGCGGAAGTAAGGGCGCCTGCAAGCGTTCTTTTAACTCAGGCTTTCAAAACAACCATCAAAGGATTATTAGTTCAACTCATCTGTTTTACAAAAAAGGAAACTGAGTTTCAGAAACTAATCTAATCCAATCAACTATACATGTCAAGGAGTTGATCTAATCCAATCAACTATGCATGTATTGTCAAAGAGTTTCTAACCTTTGAAAGGCTGAAGTGCTAATTAGGGGATCTATAAGTTCCATTCACCAGCAAGCACTAGGAATATGGTCCTAAGCTAAAGGATATTTGCAACAGCTGCTACCTTTCCCCAGGCACAGAAGAAAAACTCTTTTTGCACTTGGGCCCTAATTCTTGAAATAATGGACCCACCCATTCCTTAACTCAGTTTTCTTTGAATTGGCCATTCAGTCTGTAGGGCACAATTAATCAACAGGATTAGATATGGAAAGAAAGATCATCAGCACACCACCCTAAAGTGAAGCATTCTGGCAAATGGCTCACAATATGGTGATTTTTAGTGACATAAGTGTATGAAGGGAGAATAGAAAGAGGGAACTGTGGCAGCTCCCTTTACTAAATCAGAAGTATCACCCCAGGGAGGTTTCTCCTAGCTCACAGAATTCTCTAGTGTACACTCAATCATTTTCTATGGCCTATGCAAATGAACCCCATGATAGCAAATTACCCAAACTATTACACTTAATATTTTATTTAATATTTTATCCAACCAATTCTAGAAGAGCCTCCATGGCAGTGTAGAATAGTCACAGCAATGATTCTGGCATAGAAAATGGTCTCCAAAATCTCAAAAGATCAGATCTCCATCTATTCAATTCACCTATTAAGTTCAATATTCAAGGTTATTAAACAGACAGCCCCATCCTGCTACTGTTACCAGTGGATAGGCTAGAAATAATACCATGCTCTTGAGATACCATCTATGTCCTCAGATGTAGCAGAAAATAGCCATTGTCCATCCGTGCTGTCTTCCCAAAACTCTCTGGACAGGCCAAGGACTTGTGGACAAATTCCCCAGAATCTGGTTCCAACACTACAATGAAAAGCTAAGTATCTGGCATCTGATCTCAATGGTTCAGAATCCTCAGCCTGAGGCAACTCTTCCAGAGCCCTGATCACAGCAACCATTTTAGCACCTCTTCATAGCATTCAGAGGCATTTCAAATTTGCCTCTACAGCAAAAGTATGTCTCTTTCACATACCAGCCATCTGCACCAGGCAGAGTAGCTGCTTACACTAGCCCAAGAGTCCTTAGGGCCTTCTATAGTTCCGTATTCAGAAAGGACAGAGGAGGCAGAAGGCACTTGTCACCCATCCTGGCCAGCTGTTGTGAAGTCTATCAGGAATTCAGTCCTGGATGAAAATTTTTCTACAAAGAGCAGCAGATGGCAACCAGGCAAGGATCAAGACTCAGACAGTCTCTTCTGAATTTCAGCCACAAGATTTTCCCGTTTAATGGCAACCTAAAACATAAGAGAACCCTCATGTGACAAACTAGAAAGGGTACTATCTTCTTAGCCATTGTTTTTCCAGATTTATTTTACTCTGTATCAGTTCCAACTATTTATGCAACCAGTAGGGAGTAGTAAAGGCTCCAAGTTTACCGAGAAAATGTATGCCCTCAAGACGAAAAGGATTAAAACATCTGATCTATTTTGTTGATTAGTCTCAAAACACCAATTCAAATTTCATTTGTCCTTCTTCTGCCCACACAGCCAATATTCACTGGTTACAACTGTTGTTTGGGGTAGGTCTTCATTCAACCCTAATACTACTACCCCTGAATTTATTTTCTCAGCCAGAAAACACATATTTCTTAAGAATCTAGAAAAGATACAAACACTTGATCCCTTCTATTTCTGCCTGCTCCCACTCACCTCCTCTCTGCTGGCCACCGAACGGAGTTTGATGACCCCTTCCTTCTGTTCTTGCTCACCAATAATGACCACCAATGGAATGCCTGTGTTCTCACAATAGTGCAGTTGGGTTAATAGTTTAGGGTTGTTCTTGTATAGCATCTCTGCCTGAAAGGAGTCAAGACACAGTAGGGGACCTTACTACTATCACCATAGCACATAAACTCCAAAAACATACATTTCCAAGGAAGCCAGAAATAAGTGGCTGGCCCTCTAGTGGTATACTAAAAAAGGTAGAAATAAGCCTTGCTCCTGAGTTCCATATATGCCTAAATGGCACAGATAGCAGCCCCACTATACCTTGATCCCAGCATCCCAAAGCTCTGCAATTAGTTTCAACCGTTCCCGGAGAAAGTTCTTCTGGGGTGTGGCCACAAATACTTGGGTCTCTGTGGTCCGTACCTTCTTGAAAGAATTCTGATAAGAAACAGAAGAAAGTAAAATTAATAAAAACATCCTCTGCACCAGCAATTCCAAAAACCAAGATAAATAAATTATCAGAAAAGCAGTCCAATTGTACTGCCAGAAATAGATTTTTAGATCTCTAGCCCTACCTCAGCCCTACCTAGGACCTACCTTCATCCTTTGCTCCACAATGTAGAAAATTCGCTCTATTCCAATGCTTAGGCCCACACATGGCACTTTGTGGCCCTTGGGGTCAAACGTGGCCACCAGCTCATCATAACGCCCACCAGCTGCCACACTGCCCACATTCAGGGGCTCCTCCCCAGCCTGAGCTGGGGTTTGTAGCAGTACTGCTTCATAGATCACTCCTGTATAGTAGTCCACACCCCGAGCCAGGCTTAGGTCAAAGCATATCTGTGGGGACAAGGCTATAGTCAATCCCAGACCAGGCTCTCACGACACAAGAGGTCCACTCCCAACTCAGCTTACCTTCTCAGCAATTCCAAATAAAGTCAGGTATTCAAAAAGCAACTTCAGGTCCCCTAGGCCCTCCAGGGCCTGCTTATTCTGGGATAGTCTGGGATCCTGAAACAATTGCTCTATCAGAGATACTCCACCTGGGAAGAAATGTAGGGAGCAATAAGGTGTATGCTATTTACCCGGATGTGCTTCATCCAAATTTATCTAATCTTGTTTTTTAAATGAAGGAGAAGGAGAAAGAGAAGATCCTGGTCTCGTATCATGAGGTCCTCCTCCCCTGCCTTTACCTCTGCCATTTGAAGATACAACATACTTATGTTAAGTAAAAGGAAAACTAAATTCAGACCAGGCTCTGAAGCTTAATAAATACATCTATAGAAAGTAGCTGATTTGGAGGTGGAAACTGAAAATGTCAGCAGCAGCCTGGTTCTATCACAGCTCTTAAAACCCTGGTTCTTACCATGACATTGGATATACTCCCCAATTCGATCAGCCACCTCAGGAGCCAAGCCTTTCTTTGCCACCATCTCATGTCTCACATCTCTCCAAGACATCTGCATAAATATCCAAATGTTAGCTCAGTTCCAAATCCTTTGTCTAACTGGAAAAGGGTATCTGTCATTTAATATGTATGTCATAAATAGTTAAGTATATTAGTATACTCAGAGGCAGTTTTTTAAAAAATATTTTTAGATGTTGATGAACCTTTATTTTATTCATTTATTTATATGCAGTGCCAAGAGTCAAACCCAGTGCCTCACACATGCTAGGCAAGCACTCTAACACTGAGCCACAATCCAAGCCCTCAGAGGCAGTCTAAGATACTCAGCCACTATCCTCACCATACAGTACAACTCAGATCTTGCTTCAGAATATCTCCTTAACTTCCTCCTTCAAGAACTCACTTCCAGACACTGTTCCTTATTTTCTTCAAATGGTATGAATTTGAGGACATGGCAGAAATCCAAATAGGGTCTACTGAAGCATGGTTTCTTCATTACCTTGTCTAGTTTGTCCATTGAGGCACAGATGGCACGGAACTTGCTTTCAGGAACACCACAAACAGCAAACATCCCGTCCACTATCCGCCGGTCATTGACCTGTAAACTCAATGCGAGTAACCCAAGTGCCTTGTCAAGACCCTTTCCCTTAAAACCTCCTGACTCATAACAGGAATAAGAAAAAAAAAAAAAAAATCTTACCAAAAGAGTACATGTATATTCACATTATCAGGCCAAATCCAGACATCTCCCCCAGTCCTCAGCCTTGGCCTCACCTTAATGAGAAAGTCCCCTAGCTGTAACCCACTTAGGACTTCACACATGATCTTCAAACATTCTGCATCAGGGATCATAGGGTCAAAGTGACCAGCAATGTCAAAATCCTAAAGAAAAAAAAAAAAAGGAAAAAACTTCCACTAATCAGTCAATTCCCTGTTTAACTATCAAGCTGTGCTATCCCCATCAGGTCACTTACACACTGGCAGAACTCCCTGTAGCGGCCTTGGACTATTGTTGGGCTCTCTCGCCGCCACACCTTTCCAACTTGGTAGCGTTTCATCTTCTTCAATTTATTCATGGCCAGATAACGAGCAAAGGGGACCTCATATAGATAGATTAAGGAAGAAAGATATTGCATTCAAAGTTTGGGCCCATTAGAGAGGATTGGTCCTCTATCAATTGGATCTTATCCACTAGGATTGAGAACAAGGACTTTCTATGTCTTATTTCCCACTATCCCTAAGGGGTAGCAGTGCTTGGCATTCAAAATATATTGAAGAGTGTCAAGTGAAGGAATCTCACCTAGCAAAACTGAAAGTTGAACAGAAAGAAGAAGCAGAGAAATTCAGGTCTGGGCCATTTCCTCCCAAACCCTACTATTTCAAAATAGTCAAGCTTCAGAACCTGGATTTTCCTACATGCCAGGTTTCTGTTCTCGAGACTAAAAGGCTCAGGGGTCACTCTAGTTAAACTGGGATAACTGGGCTACAAGAAATAACCACACAAGAGACACAAATACCTTTTTCTTTGGGGTTGCTATGACGGCTCCTCTGACCTTAAGGGTGCGCAGAAAGAGAGAGAGAGAGAGCACGGGCTGACCCCTTTTATTGAGGAGAAGCTATTCAAATGAGGCAAGGGGTCAGGTTTCAGGGGGCTGAGTCTATCTTCATGATGTCCACTGTCAGCAGGTTGACTGACACCTGGGTAGGCCACACCCAAGGGCACAGTAAGAGGAGGGGACACACACAAGGCACTTCCATGGAAGATTCTATCCTAAACAGGGCAAGGGGTTATATTACAAAGGAACAGGTGAGCATAGCTTCACCCATGGGGCTGTAGCAAGACACACCCATTTCTGTGACTGAGCGCCTCAGCACCCAGCTGGGGAGAGTAACTCAGTCACCGGTAAGGTTGGCCTCCCACACCTACAATTTCAAATCCTTATTTCTAAAAGTGTAGGCCAAGGACCACATGCATTTTAATTACCCAGGATGCCTGTTTAAAATGCAAATTGTTGAATTCCACTGAAGTTACAGAAATAAGAATCTCTGGAATTGATGTTTCAGCAAGCTTCCCCAAGGAATTCTAATACACAACAAAATTAAATGACAGGGCTCCAGCCCAGGCTCTGCTGGAACAAGTGCCTTCTGGGAGAAACCAGAAGTAAAGGCTACTGCCAATAAAACTATAGTGTCCCAGAATCACTCTCTTCCCTTTTGTCAGAGAAAGCTCTCTGGATCTGGACAGAGGTCAGACTGCAGCACTCAGAAGGATACAGTAAGGTCATAGCGAAGGGACAGCAGTTCTCCACCTTGATCCTTCAGATCATACATGAGCCCAGAGTGCTCTTCATATTTCTCAGTTAGCATTTCCTACAGGGGCCAAATAGAGCCACAGTTCAAAGGATGACTAGAGAACACAGATGAGAAACCCTTTGGGACTCTGAAGGTAGGTAAAGAAAAGGGGTTCTAGGCCCTCTTCTATTCTTACCGTTAGCTCAAATGCTGGGGTATCCAAACCCTTTGCTCCATGACGTTTAAAACAGCTGACAACCATATCAAGAATTTTCTCCCTCACAACCATCTGTTGAGGACTAAGATCCCTGGTGCCCTGGAAGCCAAAAGCAGCCAAAATACAAGCAAAACAAAACAAAAATTTTAAATGACCTTTTAAGAGAAAGAGTTAAACTATACCTATAATCTAAGGTTTAGAGCTAACATTTTTTTCTGACTCTGATACCCACCCAATATCTCAAATATAGTAAAGGTTTTTTTAAAAAATATTTTTTTAGTTGTAGTTGGACCCAATACCTTTATTTTGTTTATTTTTATGTGGTGCTGAAGATCAAACCAAGCACCTGGCACAAGCTAGGCGAGCGTTCTACCACTGAGCCACAACCCGAGCCCAGTAAAGGGTTTTTGTAAAAACAAAACTTTGTGGTGCTGAGGATCAAACTCAGGACCTCTTGGATTTTTTAGATTGGTGATTGAACCCAGGGGAACTTTACCACTGAGCTACATCCTCAATTCTTTATATTTTTATTTTGAGACAGGGTCTCACTAAATTGCTTAGGACCTCACCAAGTCTTTAAGGCTAGCCTCAAAGTGTGATCCTCCTACCTCAGCCTCTTGAGTCAGTGGGATTACAGGCATGCACCACCATGGCCAGCTGTATGAATGTGTTGTAAAGGTTTTGTATGAATGTGTTGTTTTCTTTTAATTTAGCTTAAAAGGCTAGGTGTGGTGGCACATGCCTGTATTCCCAGCAACTCAGGAGGGCAAGCAGGAGGTTCACAAATTTAAGGCCAGTCCTAAGGCCTTAGCAAGGCCCTAAACAACTTAGTGAGACCCTATTTCAGAATGAAAAAAAAAAAGACTGGGGATGTGGGTCAGTAGTTAAGTGTCCCTGGGTTCAATCCTTGGTCCAAAGGGAGGAAAAAAACTTAGCTTAAAAGGATTCTAAAAGGGGTCAGAGAAATAAGTGATGCAGAGGTCAGTCCTTGAAAGCATGCTAATGGGACAGGATGAGCAAAGGGTATTACCTTCGGGATCTTAATGATAAAATTTGGTTTCTCTTGATGTGGTTTAGGTTGGGATGTTAACAATGCCTCTGCAACCTGGAAGAAAAAGGAATATAAGATGTGGCTCCATTGCACACTGGTCAGACCTGTGACGTCACTGATCCTGTGGACCACCAACCTACAAAAACCCTTGACCCTAAGCAACAGGAAGCCTGAGTGCTATCCTGATCTCAGCCGCCCTCCTCAAGAACCTATGCTGTATCTACAAATATACATGTAATATATGAGGTCAGGTCTTCACCACACAAGCTTCTTCACTGTATCTTAGTTTTTAAGTGTCTGAAAAAGTTTAAATAACTGAGAACAATGAAGGCACAGAACACCACTACACCAACAAACATGTAGAAGCAGGAATTAATTATGACTTCTTCCAGTCTTCAGTTCCTACTCAAACAGCAAAAATAGGAATCCTAATAAGATAATTTTGTTTTATCAGGCTTGGAGATAAGGAAAATGTAAGCTGAAACAGAAGTAGCCCAAGAACCCAGAACAAGCGTGAGGTGAAAAGGAAAGCATTTCTTGACCAAACTTAAAAACTCAGGCTAGTAACATGCTGTGACTGAAAATTAATTTTTAAAAGGAGTTCTGTTGTTCGTGACAGTACATTGCATCTGCTAAGAGGACATTAAGGAACTTTCCAAAGCACAGCAAAACAGAACTTTGTCTTTATTAACAGCATGTCATATGCCCTTCCAGAAATAAAGAGTTGGGTAGTTCCATGTTTTAGTGATTCTATCCCCCAAAGAGAAGTACAAGTTCAAAGCCAGAATCCCTCATCTGTAATACCAAACTCCAAAAATTTCTGAAAATTGAAGATGTCCTTCTGAGATTCATTTTAAAGTAAACTCTAATGTGAACTCAATGTGTTTATGGTCTCTGGCCATCCCATTTAGTGGGAATATCCACAATATTTTGCTTAAGAATATAATGTGTTCGACTCCAAAATTTTCAGTTAATAGAATACAGACCTGTATTAAAATAATGCCCTTGCTGCATGACTTCAGACATGGCATTAAACCTTGCAGCCTCCGTTTCCTCAACTGTAAAATGAAAATAAAAACCCCAACCTCCCAAGATTGCTCCAAATGTTAAATGACAAAGCACCCAAAATGCTTAGTTCTGTGCAAATACATAATGAGCACTCCATTTAAAAAGCCGTGATAATATAGTACAGGTCGCGAGTCATGTTTCCAGACCTGAAGACCCAACCCTGAAAGACAAGCTATCTCAGTCCGGCTCACCTGGCTATGACAACCTACTGCAGAGATGCACGCAGCGCGGGGCGGTCGCAGGAGCTGGCTGAGCAGCGTAGCCCAGGTCCTCCTGGGTAGGAGTCCGAGCTGGGGCATCGTGCGGCAGAGCACCGGCCTTCCGGGACAGGAGCCAAAGGCCTGGGAACCAGTGGGGCGGGACCCCCGTAGTGCGCGGGAGAAACGGAGATCACCAGGAAGGACCAAGTACCGAATTAGTCCAGGTTGACTGAGATCCTGTCCTCCCAGGCTCTCTAACCCGGAAGTGGATTTTGCACTCTGCGGAGGCTCTCTAGGCAGGCGGGCCAGCGACTCGATAGCCGGAAGTCGTCAGGGTTGCAGTCGAGTCCACCCAGGCTGGTCTAGACGTCAGTCGGCTCTGCTTGGCAGACGGAATGGCAGAGCGAGCTAAGCTGGAAGAGCTAGTGCGACTTCAGGGAGAGCGCGTGCGGGGTCTCAAGCAGCAGAAGGCCAGCACCGAGCAGGTGAGACCCAGGCGGCAGGGGAATGGCCAAGCAAAGCCAGGGAGGGCATAAAACGGGGGTGGTCTACACGGAGGTCAGGTATGTGAAGGAAGGGGACTGGATTGCTAAGGAGAAGGATGGGCTGGGTGGAGAGGTAGCCAGGAGGGGTCCCCAGAGAAGTAAGGCTAGTCTAAGCAGAGAGATCTGTCCCAGTTCCTGATGAGGGAGGAATATCGAATGAATGGCGGGGGAGGAGGGGAGTGACAGATGAATAGCTCAGAGGCCTTTTTCTCTCCACAGATCGAAGAGGAGGTGGCAAAACTACTGAAACTGAAGGCACAGCTGGGCCCTGATGAAAGCAAACAGAAGTTTGTGCTCAAAACCCCCAAGGTAATATGATTCCTATGGGGCCTCTGAGAATCCTAATTCCATTCACAAGGGCTCTAGAATGTTTGGTTCCCTAAACCAGGTCATTGAGGAGGCTCTGAAATATTGCAGAGGAAACAATAATTGCTCTGGGCACTGGGCTGGATTGAACTCTATCTGACTCATTATGGGAAGGCAAAATGATGACAGAAACTAGTTAGGTGGATGCTCAGGGGAGTCAGCCTGTTGCTGCTACTCCTTTAATTCAGTAACTCATTGAATACTATGTTCTTAACATTGTACAAATCACTTAATACAACATGGTAGTATTAAAAGGAGTTCTGTTGTTCATGACAGTACATTGCAGCTGCTAAGAGGACATTAGGGAACTTTCCAAAGTCCGTCAAAACAGAACATTGACTTTATTAACGGCATGTCATATGCTCTTCCAGAAATAAAGGGTTTGGTAGTTCCATGTTTTAGTGATTCCTATAGTCCACTGAAAGACAGATTTAGGACAAATTATCCCACACATGCATATGTGATGGGTAATATAAAGAAATTAACAATAATGTCTGAAAAACATAAAAGAGAGTTGGAGGATCTAAGAAAGACTCATTGAGGCTTCAATGGATGAGAGACAGCCAAGAGAAGAGTGTAAGGAAATAGGTCCAGCAGAGTATGGAAACCCTGAGGCAGGAAAGAACTTTTTTTTAGTAGTTTCCAGGAACTAGAAACAGACCTATGTGACTAGAACCAGAGAGGTAGAGTGGAATGAAGTTGAAGATTCCTAGCTCATCCTTGAGGATTTCAATTCAAATGCGATTTTCTTTAAGTTCTGCAAACAGAACTATTTACTCCTTCCTCTCAGTTCTTTTGCCACTTCATACAAATCTCTATTATTTCACTGACTTTTAATAGTTACTCATGTGGTTTACTTACCCTGAGAGGCTTAGACTAGATGCCTAGAAATAAGTAGGTATTCAGTGAAAGTAACTGAAATTGAATTTCAAGGAAGAAGGGAAATGGTTTGTTTTCTTTGAGTTAAGGTTAAATTCTTTGGGCTCCTAAATTCATTGAGCTTTTCCTTTCTATATTCTCTCTTTTTCAGAGATTAAAGAGAGTATAAAATCTTGAAGCATAATGATTAATAATTATTCAAACTACTGAATGAGGTGTAAAATTTCTGGGGAATTTATGATAGCTCAGTCCAGCCTTATCTAAACTCAGCAATCAGTCCTGACATCACTAAAAGCAGGACAACTAGACATATGTTCCTGCTGATATGATGCAATAAGAAATACATAGCACTCACTATGAAATATTCTTGCCAAGGGAAGTTGAACTTAAATCCAATCAGGTCTTTGGACTATTAATTTAAACAAAATACCCAAGATGAAGGAATATGTTAAATGACACATGGAGGATATTGTTAACCAAATTTAAAATGTGAAAAAAAATTAAGTCAAATGACCCAATTTCCTCAATAAGTAAATTATATGAAAAGGAAAAAAAAAAAAAAAAGAAAGCTGGGATGTAGCTCAGTGGCAGAGCAAGTACTTAGCATGCACAAAACCCTGGGTTCAATCCCCAGCCCCACAGAAAAAGAAGAAAGGAAACTGAGAAATTGTCATAGATTAAACAAACATATCAACCAGGTACAGTATATAGACTTTGTTTAGAAGCTGATACAACTAGATTTAGTATTAAATACTATTAAAGGGTTGCTGTGTAGTTTTGTGATTAAAATAAAGGTAGTGTTTTGAGTTTTCTTAAAATCATTACATGTTAGAGAATCATACTGAAATATATATGGATGAAAATGATAGAATATCTAGAATTTGAAAATACTTCAGGAAAAAGATGTCCGGGTTTAAATGAAATAAGAACAGGTGTTACTGGTTGTTGAAGTTAGGTAATGGCTACATAGTGATCTATAATATTATTCTCTAAATGTTGTCTTTGAAATTTCCCATAATATAATGTTAAAAGAAAATGAGGATTGGCGCATGCCTGTAATCCCAGCAGCTAAGGAGGCCGAGGTAGGAGGATATCGAGTTCAAAGCCAAGCTTGGGCAATGGTGAGGTGCTTAGCAACTCAGTGAGACCCTGTTTCTAAATAAAATACAAAATAGGGCTGGAGGTGTGGCTCAGTGGTCAAGCGCCCCTGAGGTCAATCCCTGGTACCAAAAAAAAAAAAAAAAAATGAGGTTATGCTAAAGAGTAAATATCTACTTCACTTTGTTGAAACACATTTCTAAATGTGTAATTCATATTTTTACCAAAGATAACTCAGTAATGTAGGGGTAAGGCCCTTTCAAGGCAACTTCATGGTCAAAACCATTTTTATGATAATAAAACGTTATTTGCTTTTTCCACTGTTAACATTTGCACTGAAGGTGCAAAAGCACTGGTATGAGTAGAACGTCTACCTTACCACAAATCGAGACAGTGGCACTAAACTATACTAGTAGCCAGTACAGTCATCTCTTGGTAACTTCAGGGGATTCATTCCATTTGTCTCCTACAAATATCCACAGGTAGTCAAGTATTTCATATAAAATGATTAGTATTTGCATACAAACCATGCACATCCTGTATACTTTAAATCATTTCTAAATTACTTATAGTGCTTAATATAATGTAAAAGCTATATAAATAGTTATTATATTGTTCAGGGAGAATGACTAAGGAAAAAACTGTGTGTGTGTTCAGTACAGATGCAATTTTTCGCCAAAATATTTTTTAATCCAGTTTCTTAAATCTATAGATATGGATTTATGGTCCTTTGGATACAGAGGACCAAATATATGTTCTTTCCTCAGTGTACTCACAGTTAAAAAAAATAAAATTCAGTGTCTGGGGCTGTAGCTCAGTGGCAGAGCGCTTGCCTGGCATGCATGAAGCACTGGGTTCGAGATCCTTAGCACGACATAAAAGTAAACAAATAAAATAAAGACATTTTGTCTATCTACAACTACCAAAAAAATAATAAAAATAGAAGCAAAATTCAGTTTCTCTCAAGAATGTTCTTTATAAAACAGTAAAAGTTTTTAATTTTATTTGATCTCAACCCTTGAATATGCTACTTGTACTTCATTCTGAAATGGGGAAAACACTTGAGCCATTGTTCAAGTTTTGAGCTTGGCTAGTTACGTTTTTCATAGAACATCTTTTTAATTTGAAAGAACAACTGAACGATAAATTATGGCTTTTCAGACTTGGATATTTAGCAGACATTTTTCAAAAAAATGAGCCTTGTCATTTTAAGGAAGACATGGCAGTGATTTATTGTCAGTGATAAAATTCAGGCATTCAAGTAGAAGTTAGAATTTTGGAATATTTTTATTTTCCACCATGAACTTGACAGCTTTCCAATGCTTTAAAGACTTTCTTGATGAGATCTGTGGTGATAATTGACAAGTATAATTTTCTGATATTGCATAATGAAATGTGTCAACATTTGAAAGATCTGTATAACTGTTATCAATGTATTTTGCAAATGACCCATGTATGTATAAAATCATGCATGGGTAGAAGATCTATTTAAAGTACAAGATACAGTAATGGGTTTGTTTTTTACTGTGGTAAAATATACATAATGAAATTTACTATTTTAACAATCTTTAAATGTACAGCTCAGTAGCATGAAGTACATTCACATTGTTTTATAACCATCACCACTATCCATTCTAGAACTTTTTCATCATCCCAAGTAGAAACTATACCCACTTAACAAAAACTCCCACACCACCTGCCCCTTCTGCCATCTGGTGACCACTATCTTATTTTCTGTCTCTGTCAATTTTACTATTCCAGTTACCTTATATAACTGTTAGGCTAATGCATTCTAATGTACCTGTATGAAAAATTCACTGATGTAACTTTCAGATTCCACATTACATGCAATCTTTAAGAAACAACTGCTTGTTGGATCTTGGGATAGTATTAAAGAATATCCACAGTTAGCTGAAAAGTTTGCTAAAATACTCCTTCTTTTATAAATATATATCTATTTAAGTTTAAATTATCTTCGTATACTTTAACCAAAACAACATGTTGAATATTGAATACAGAATTGAATACAAAAAGCACAGCTGCCTTCTTTTAAGCCATACATTAAAGAATTGCAAAGATTACTCAGTGCCACTGTTCTTACTAAATATTTTTGTTTAGGAAAAGAGGTCCTTTGACGAGAGTTCTCCTGCTACAAACCTGGCTTCGGGTGATGACTTAACTTCTCAACATCCTATAATTTATCTACAAAATTTATCTCCCTAGCCTGTGTCTTAGGACTACTAACAGAAAAAATTAAAGAACAAACAATAGTATTAATTAGAATTTAGAAGAAAATTATGTTGAGAAAGAAAGGCTGCTTGTAAACTTTAAAATTCAACTCTGAACCGCTTTGAGTTAGTTATGTGCCTGTTATCAGGTAGG